GATATTTTAAATCGGATATTTCGGATATTTTTAAGTCAGATATTATCGGATATCAGATCGGGTTTCGGATATTTCGGTTATATTAAAACACATTATAATTGGATAATTAAAGTGTTGGAATGCCACTTTGACAAAAATTGTACACACTAGTGCACTACACATTCAAATTACACAAATAATTTAACACAAATTACACAAATAATTGAACACATGTATTAATTTAATATATTCAAAGTACACACTACATAATTTAATATATTTCGGATATTTCGGTTATATTAAAACACATTATAATTGGACAATTAAAGTGTTGGAATGCCACTTTGATAAAAATTGTACACACTAGTGCAATACACATTCAAATTACACAAATAATTTAACACAAATTGCACAAATAATTACACAAATAATTGAACACAAGTACGAAGTATTAATTTAATATACTATCGTATTTCGGATAATTCGGGCGGGTCGGGTTGGGATTTTACAAACCCTACCCGCCACCCGGTCTAGGCCCAATACTAATTGGATTTTCGGTTTCGGGTTTTTGGGTCGATATCCGTATCCAAACTGATATTATCCGCAAAAAACTTCAGGTTTTGCGGGTCGGTTCGGGTTTTGCTGAGCCCTAGGTATAATTGTATAAACACATTTACATGTCATCCAAGTGTAACTTATGAATGCCACATGACCTCTCTAGATCACATCAAATAATAAAATGTTTATATGAGAGAAATCAATTTCTATAAGAATCTTGTTGGTTTATACAAATCAGAGACAAAAAATTGGGAAAACTACCAAATAGGTCCTCATAGTATATAAAAAACCAGTTGAGTTCTCGTACTCTTAAATCACTCAATCAAATCCCTCAACTTTTAAAAAACGTGCAATAAGGCATTTTATCCGGTTGATTAAAATTTTTGCCCGAAACTATTGACCTGGATGCCACATGGCATTAATTTTTTTTATTCTCTTTCTTGCACTTGCAACTTTCCTTCTTTTCTTTCTTTCTTGCTTTCTTCTTTCTTTATGCCGTTTCCTTCTTTGTTTCTTCTTTCTTTTTCTCGATCGTTTTTTTTCTCTCCACTCGTCGACTCCCTATTACCTGGCGAGTTCGAGCGTCGTCTCCGACGAGTAACGAGTTCGTACACTGTCTTTGTCTCTGACGAGTTTGTCCACCGTCTCAGGCGAGTTATAGGTGAACTTTTGTCCCTGGCAGTCCTCTTTAACTAACTTCAGCGGTCGCCGACCATGGAGATCCTCAAGGCTAGTTCGTCATCATACTGTTGGGAAAAACACGACCTCCGACCTCTTCCAGGATCACAAGTTCAAATCACTCTTGTACACTCACCCACTCACACGCAATACAAAGATTCAATCTGACAATATCACTTTGTATTATACAATTAGAATGTACAAGATAGATTTACAAGTAAACGAGTATATTAGCTCACTTCACTCTTTGCATATGACACTACTTCACTCTCACTCTCCTCACTCAAGGAGGCCCTCACTCACTCAAGAGCTCTCCTTAAGACTCTTCTCCTCATCACTCAAGGAGACTCTCACGAGACCCTCTCAAGGCTCTCACCATATAGAAGAGTCTCACCCCGTTTATACCACTCTTCTCAAAGCTTCTCAAGAAAATTTATACATCACTACAGTTCTAGATGCTTCCAAGAAGTATCAACAAGCTTCTCTAATCTTCTAGAAGGATCTAGAGAACTCCACACTTCTTCAGAATGTTCTAGAGGCTTTCACACGCTTCCACACAATTCTAGAGAATTCCACACTTCTCTAAAAAGCTCCACAACGTTCTAGAATATTCTACACTCTTCTAGATAATTTCGCGCCTCTCCAGAAGGTTCCAGAATATTGTATAACATTCAATACTCTTTACACTCATATATAGAATTCTAGACATCTCCACAAAATTCTAGTATTCTCATGAACTTCTCAATTAAGAAGGTAACCTGTTGAAGCAAGAATTTGACGATTTATGTGGCATTAAAGAGGGTTGACCGCAAGAATTAATGGAGCGTTCACAAGCCTTAATCTTAATTATTGTAACGTTTTCTATGTATTGCTAGTTACCTCACCTGTGCGTTGCACAGGACTAAAGCAGTTACATATGAATTTAATTAGATAAATTATGTAAGAATTAAGAAAAAAGTTGATAGTGAATCAATTAATTGAAAACATAAGTTAAAATAAGATATTCTTGTAATAGCAAACTAGGAAATAAATAGTACACATCAAAATTTAAAAATCATGAAATGAAGTACCTGTACACGTAAGTCCATAAAACTGTCAAGAAGATTACATATAAATTATTATAATATTCCCTGTATCCAACACAAGGCAAGCATAGGTGGTCATCAAGTCCATACATCTTCATCACATATCACAAACTTCAGACCACGGTTGAGCTGTTATACTCAAAATCTCCACGTACACATGTTCATGTGTAAGAACAGTTGTCCCATTTATTTGAACAGTTGTCCTTTCATCTTATTAATGATCATTGCATACCTATCACTACTTCATTCGTCCCACTAACTTTGTCCCGTTTTACATTTTGTCTATCCCATTAAGTTCCTCCTCTATCATTTTTGGTAATACTTTAGTGGTTACAATCCATTCTTACTTTATTTACACTTTATCAATTCAATATCATTCATACAATATCACTTTCATAATAAACCGCATCACACCCTCGTGTCCCAATCATAGGGGGACAAAGGTAGAAATAGAAACTATATGCATTGAAAAGTGAATTAGGGTCTACCGTCTCATGGTGTTATAGTGAGCAGAGATCAAGATGTTTTCAATTGGAGTGCAATTTTATGGTTTTGTTTGGTCTGATATTTTTAAATCTAGCATGATCTGGTCTGATCTAAATTGGTTTGGTCTAATTTAGTATATGTATGTTCTATATGTATTTTACAACAATCGAGTTTAGTTTGGTCTGATCTGGTTTGATATAGATGAACTCAATTCGAAGATTAGCTTAACCACGTGCAGTTTTGAACATCCTGATTCCTCCAAAATGAAATCAGGTCAATTCTGGTGCTGAGGATAATTGTTTTTACAAATGAAGCACAAAACTACACCACAACTTGCCCTTAAGAGGAAATACCACTCCCTCATGGAGAAGGTTAAGGACAGAAAGTGACATGAATCAATCGAAATCCATCACACCCGCATGGAGAAGGTTAACGACTGAAAAATGACATGAATCGGTCAAGATCCACCACTACTCAAAGAGGCTTACAATCTATCAACCATTAAATTAACAAACTTTAATCGCTAGGAATCATTATTTGAAAAGATAAAATGAATGTACATCCTCAAAAATACAAAGGCTAGTGGTGGTAATTTAAAAATATTAGCGGTTCAATTAATTTCAGTATGTTATGTCATTTGGCTCTTATACTATTATAGAATTCAAACACCAAATAATCAATATTAGCTTAAACTGAAAAGAATCAACATGATATTTCTAAGAAAATGGTTTTACGACATCACACCTTTACAGTTGTATATAAACAAAAGGTGCATATGCCATATATTTTACTTTCATAACATGAGCATAGAAGATGAATAAGAAATAGTAATTTGGAAAAGTCAATGAACATTTCCACCCATAATTTCACCCGTGCGGTTCACATGATGAATTAGCTAAGCATTCAAGGATTTGCTCTTCTCCTACATTATCTTCTTTTCTTTTTGTCCATCAAAAATATTCCATTCTCAATTCAAAAAATTAATAACCAAGTTCACCTTAGTATCATATATTGATATTGGCATGAAAGGAGTAAAAGAATCTCTTAGATGATACATCAATATTTATGAAGGCATATAAGAGTGTTTGTGATTTCTTCTACTCTAAAAAACATGATTTAAAGTGATTTTAGAGAAAATACTTAATAGAAAAATTGGTAGTATTTGGGGGGGGGGGGGGGGGGGGGGGGGGGAATGATTTTGAATAAGTAAAAGTTAATAGTATTTGGTAAAAATAATTTTTATTTAATTGCAAAAGTGAAAAGAAATTTTAAGCATCGCTTTACCGTTTTTCAATTTTTAGATTTAAAGTTCTGAATTTAAATAAAACGGTCACTTGAAAATATCAATTTCAGTGTTTTTTAAGAGAAGACATGGAAAACTTAGGGTATATTTGCAAACAATTAAAAAAGTGATTTTCAAATTTTGGCCTAAAAAAGCTAAAATGAGTGTTTTCAAATGATAGCTTCTATTTAAATTAAACAGTTAAAAGCTAAATGTTGGAAATTAATTTTTACTTTTTCTATTACACAAAAAGCACATATTTTATCACACACTACCAACTTTTACTTTTCAAAATCATTTTTTTCAAACACTATCAACTTTTACTTTTCAAAACCAACTTTTTCTCAAACACTATCAACTTTTACCATTAAACACTTTCTTTAAAATCACTTTAAAAGTTAAACTTTTTTTAAGCACAAGCAATCATCCACCTATAAGTTGATCTTGCATGATCTGAAATTGTCCACCTATAAGCATCCTAAAACAATTTTAATTGTTTTCAATAACTACTTTGAGTAGTTGCCAAGAGAAAGCCTCTTAATTTTAGCATCAATTAGTGATTGAAACTTGTTATACAAAATGTAACTATGTCAAAAGTTAACACTTACCAAACGGTGACAATTTATTTTTGGGTTAAATATCAAAATAGGATTAAAAGTCACTCACTTTGCACAAATAGGACCAAAAAATAAATTATGTTTTCATAGGACCAATTATGTGTGTCTTGGACAAATATATACCCTTATAGCTATTGAAATGTTTTAATTCATAATAAAATAACAAAAAAATAAAAAATCGTAAAAAATACTAAAAAATTAATAAAAATATTTCGATAATAATAATTTATTTATTTTTTTATTTTCAAAAAATAAAAAATAATATATTTTTTTAAAATTAAAAACTCAAAAAAATAAAATAAAATTCACCGCCGCCTCCGCCGCCTCTGCACCACCACCTCTAGTCACCAGGGGAAAAAATGCCAAGTTCATTATGAATGTCATATTTATGGCAGAAAACAATGAAAATGTTGGCATTCTCAAAGAGGAATATGCCACGTTTTTCGCATTTTCAGAAATAAATGGCAGTTTTTAGGGAAATGGCATTTTTTCACCGGCCGGAGATGGTGGTGCAGGGAGGTAGTACAGGCGGTGGGAAAGGCATCCATATTTTTTTTTTAATTTTTTCTATGGAGTTTTACTATTTTTTTATTAATTTTAAAAAAAACTAAAATTGATTTTTTTAAATTTTTTATTTTATAAATATTATATAAATTTTTTAATTATTTTTCTACGAATTTTTGAATTTGTTTCGAATTTATTATGAATTAAACATTTAATTAACTCATATTTAAAGGAAGGGTAAGAATGTAATGAAAAGATGTCTTTTTTTGAATGAAAAAATAGGTATGTTTCCAATAGGACTAATATGATCCTATTTTGAAAAGAAAAACATAGTAAGTCCTATTTTGAGTTTTTGTCATAGTTTTAGTCCTATTTGAAGTAATTTCTTTTTTTCCTTTTAAGAAGTGTTAACTATTACGGATTTACAAAGTCTATATTTCCTGATATTAAATCTCTATAACTTTAAGGATGTGTTTACTTGAATTGAAATTTTATGGTCTGATCTGATATAAACTGGTCTCGTAAATGTCCGATATATGTATATTTTATACCTATTCAAATCTGCTCTGGTAAATGTCTGGTCTCTGTGTATTTTATAACTATTCAAATCTGGTCTGGGACTAAAAACAATCCAAATAAAAACATCCTTATATCCCTTTATCAATACTAACTCCCTAAAAATAATTGAAACAACAATTATTTGAGGGACACACAAACACAACAATAATATTTACATTAATTATTTGAAGTGAAAACTATTACATACACTATGGAAGTAATTCATACTCTTTACTATACTAAAAATAATTTATTTATTTCTAATACTAAAAAGATCTTAAGACTTGGGCGATATATCTATTTGCTACGAACAATACTTTGTCTTCTTAAAACACTGTGGCAATAATCACACTTTAAACTAAAGAATTCGAACAAAAAAAGTGTAATTTACCCTTCACATTTAAGTATTCTAAAAAAGGAGATACTACATATTTCTACTCTGTTATTGACTTGACACTATACATCTCCAAGCACACCTATAAATTGCAATGTATCTTGGAAGAAGTAACACAGACTATATAGCTATATAATACGAAGTGGGAGAAACATACAAAAATAGTTGACAAAAGAGCCCTTAATCTAAAATAGCAATTCATATGGAGGAGATGGAAAATTCCTTTTGTACACGCCAAGTTTTACACGCCGCGTTACACGCCTGTAAAATTGTCTGTGTACAGACAATTTGATCGATTACACAGACATATTGAGCGGCGATTTATGAAGAAAACCGATTTTCACACAGACAAAAAAAAAATCTGTATCACAGGCACTTTATGAAAAATTCAGGTCTAAAATGTCTGTGATACAGACAACTCTTGATATTTTGTCTGTACGAAAATCGATTTTCTTCATAAAACGCCGGTCAAATTGTCTGTATACAGACAATTTGACCGGCGTGTAACCCGACGTGTAACCCTGCGTGTACACGAAGCGGAATTGAATAGATTTAAATTACTCATCCATGATAGCTAACCACATAAAAGGGTGCAGTGTGTGACTTGGTGTAGTCAACACGAATGTGAAACACATTCTACCAAAGAGCTTGTGACGACAACATTGTAGCAATGCCATGCCAGTACTTTAGAGATGGCTTCTGAGTGGGTAACAGACCAAAGCACTACTTTAGGAGGACTCTCTCCCTTGAGTATTTGTCATCCGGTGAGAACCAGGCTGGATGTACAAATTGTGTGAGCACTGGCCAACCCTACTGGTGATTCTTTCTTGGTTGTGTACATTTTGGATGTTTTTACTTGGACTATAATTTACTGGTCTGGTCTGATCTGATCTGGTCTTGTCTGGCTGATCTGGTTTCTTTGTATTTTTATAACTATCCAAGTCTGGTCTGGTTTGGTCTGGTCTGATCTGGTCTGGTTTGGCCTGGTCTGGGAGGAATTACAGTCCAAGTAAAAACATCCTTTGTCATCCTTTTCATTTATGCATGTAGAAATGGAGATCCATTGACAGGATGAATTTGTGGATGCACAATAGTAGTAGGGTTTTGTAGATTTCAACCTATAATGTAACAAAGCACACCGATTTTGCTTATTCATATTATAAGCTTAATAAATAAGATACGACAAATGAAGATGGAAAACTATGTGTATCCAACCTGCTTTTTACAAATGGGTTTAGCAAAATGCTATTCCATTTAGGGAATTCAACATAATTAGCTAGCAAACTCTATCAAATAACTCATGGGAAACATGCTCTGTGTTATGTGCATGAGTTGCTAATTTTTCACTAAGAATCCTATGATATAGCCAAAAGTAAAATGTTGCTTGATACACATCTTTGAAGATAAATATGTTCTAAAATATTTCTATTAGATACCAATATTAAAAAATGATGTATATAAAAGTTTACTGATAAAACAAATAAACTATAACTACTTCATATCACCAAATGCATAGACTGCAACGAACTATTTTATCCCTCAAAACTCGGTTCCTCTCCAATCCTATAATAGTATTACAAAAACTTAGTGAACAATCATAACACACTACTGTGAAGCTTAGACTGTTACACTAAATATGACCCTTAAGTAGTGAAAAAAGGTTAACAAATATCAAGTTGAAGTGCAAAGATGGGTGCAAACAGGTACCATTATCAGTATATGTCATATTCATCTTACTCATGATTGATATTTATGGTGAAACTACACTACTATACTTACTCATTAACACCAGATGGGTGAAAACAGGTATCAATATCAGTATAGGTCATATTCATCTTACTCACTGATTGATATTTATGGTGAAACTACACTACTATTCATGATCACTGGAGGTTTGTTAAAACAAACAGTAAAATAGCTTTGAAATCCGTATATGCTAGACTAAGCATATGTCAAGAAATACTTAAGACCACACAAAAATGGTCTCTTATATTTTCATTAAAATAGAATTCATCACATCAAAGTTGATTGAAATAAGATCACACACACACACTTTTCTAAAAAAACTATTAAAGAACAACTAATAGAAGAAGTTTAAACAAATAGTCAAAGATTGATCTAAAAGATGAAGCTTTAAAGAGAAACATTCTATCAAAAATGAGTTTTGTCAAACAAAACCAGGTTTTATTTACGATAATGAATGATTTTTGCAAAATCAAAGTGATATTAGCAAATCTGGAACAAATGAAAGAGGATCCCAATATCATCTGTTAAGGCTCCTATGATCCGGTAAAACCATACTCATAAACAAATTACTACCATACGCACAGACTATCACATCTAAATAAACATGTAGACCCATAGTTGAGATTGCATAGCGATTTAAGGAGGATTTTACTTAAAAAGAATTTTAAAGACTTAGGAAATCCCTAGAAATATAAATGAGACATCTTACAATTTTTTTCAAGTATTGGATATCCAGTTAAGTGTTTATACAAATATTGAAAAAATAGACACACAACAACTTTGTATGCAAAAATGCAAATAGAGAACTCATTGAGTAACTGGTGGGTATGGATGCTTTTAGATTTTTTGTTATGAAATCAAAGAGTGATCTTTTATACTTTCATTGAAATATAATTCATCACATCAAAGTGATTGGAATAAGACCACTCATACACGCCTTCCTAAAAACAAAACTGTTAAAAAACTAAGAGCAGAAGTTTAAAAACTTGAAGTCTTAAGTAAGGCACATAAAATGGTATTATCATGAACACTAAATGTTTTTTATCTTGCCTATAACACTTGGTGGCTTTCTTGAAACAAAGAATGATTCTCTTTCCGTTGTGAATATTATAAAAGAGGTTATTTTTTATAAAACATAGTACCCGGAAGCACATTTGTAAACCTAAAATCTAAGTATAATAGACCCGTGTATAATTCTAGAAAAAATCTTTTTTTCATAAATTAAGAGTTTCCAAGTTTACATTTGTGGGGAAATGTAATAGGCCCGTTTTTTTCAAATGAAATAGGAATAACACCAAACCTTTGAGTTTTGATTGCTAGGGAAATGAAACCCTAGATTTCAAGAAAACAATCAACTATTATTAGGAGCAATATGTACTACTCTAAAGAGAGCTAATGTGAGACAACTATAATTGAACAAAAATGTTATAGTTGAATGATGCAATCAAATGTATGATACATGTACCTAGAATATTTGGAAAGACTCTTCATATTTTGTTAAGAAGGTCAGATTAGACAACATATTTCTCATCGTAACAAAATAATGTAGTTGATTGAACTAAATAAAATGAAAATTATTCATCCCTATTTAAACTCTAGTAGTTCAGTAGTTGACTTCCATGGATCAACTATTGTTGAAACAACTATATGTATGATCATCTACCAAAGAGCATTGCAAGTCAGTGAAAAAAAGACACTTGAGCTGGATTTCAACAACAATCGTTCAACGCGAGCGTATCAAATATCAACTTTGGAATTAGTAACGCTACGTAATAATAGAACAGTGTACACGGCCGGACCCAGGAAAGTCATCATGGGAGGGCTAAAGCATTTTTTGGGGGATTCAAAATATTTTTTGGGAGGGAGAAAATTATTTTATATATATATATATATATATATATATATACATACGCTAAAAAAATTCTTCTTGAGTCTGTACTACGGTCCGGCCCTGCTAGTGTATAATTCTAGAAAATATGTTTTTTTTTCATAAATTAAGAGTTTCCAAGTTTACATTTGTGGGGAAATATAATAGGCCCGTTTTCCCCCAAATGAAATAGGAATAAAACCAAACCTTTGAGTTTTGATTGCGAGGGAAATGAAACCCTAGATTTCTTCCTCCATTGTTGGGTGAACTAATCGGACTTAGGTCTTGTTGAATCCAAGGAGAGGAAGCATTTCATGCCATACATTGCGGTAGAAGTTCTCTCTCGTCCCTTTCCATGAAGCTGGTTTCTTTCTTGAGTGGCCATGTGATGACAGATGAGAGCTTAATGGTGCGGCAGAAGGTGACTCTCGATAGACGGTGGTGAACTGGTGCTGGGTTGCGGTCCAAGAAGAAGAGCAAAAGCAGAACAAAGGCGTATTTTTTCTGAGTAGCAGCGAAATTACACATATGCCCAGAAAGTAAATAAATCAGCAGTAATGTATGAGCCGGAAAAGAGTTTTTGCCACTTTTGGTCCCCTGAGTATTGTGTCAGTGACACTTTTGGTACACGACTTTTAATTTTTCCATTTTTAGTCCTCGACTATTGTTCGTGAGACACTTTTAGTCCTCTACTTTCAAGTTTCCCACATTTAGTCCTTTGAGTATTATCAGATTGACACTTTTAGTCCTTCTATTATGATTTTGACACAATAAGTGGAGGACTAAAAATGTCTCTATAGCAATAGTTGAAGGACCAAAAGTGTCACTTCTACAAAAGTCGAAGGACTAAATACGGAAATTTTCAAAGACGGATATCAAAAGTGTCTCTCGCATAATAGTCGAGGTCTAAAAGTGGAAAAATTAAAAGTCGAGTACCAAAAGTATCACTAACACAATAGTAGAGGGACTAAAAGTGGCAAAAACTCAGCCGGAAAACTTTCTCTTCATATGTAGTGTCTTTATTAAGTACGAAGTATAATAATTATATAATAATATAATATAAAGATAAAGATTAGGCTCTTTAATGTGATTAAAGAAGATATTAATTGTAATTGACCAACCTTTATGACAGATTCGAAATCGCCATAACGGACGGACAACTAGCCAGTAACGGACAAATCAGTCTTGAGAACATTAACTACCCTTCCTATAAATAAGACATCCTAATTGTAATCAGAACAACACACTCAAATAATACATTGAACTTCACTCTTATTTGCTCATTTGTCATCCTCCTTATTGTTCTTATACGAGATCCTGTCCAAATATAATTTTCTTTTTTAATTAGTTTTAACTTATCAAAATTTTGGTTAAAGATAACCCAACAAAGCCTTCCATCAGTTCCCACACCCAACTTAGAAGAATTGGGACCAGGCCACCTACGAAAAAGAAGAAAGCGGAAGAATTTGACGGGGAAATAAACGAACTCGCCTGAGACGGCAGACGAACTCGCCGAAGATGAGCAGAGATTTGAGAAACAGGTAGAACAAAACGACCAGAGAGAGGAAAGAAAGAAATTTAAAAAGAAAGAAAGAAGAAGAAATGAAAGAGAAAAAATGAAAAAAATGTTGCAGGTGTGCGTACGTACTAGTTGAGCATAGAGAGCTTGGGAGAAGAAGCAAAAAGAAAGAAAAAAGAAATCATAAATCCACTTGGGCATCCGAGTAAGCAGTTACCGGCCAAGCTTGTAATCAACCGGATCAAAGTGTAATTGATTTTTTTTTGCATAGTCGGGGGATTTAATTGAACAATTTAATAATACGAGAATTCAATTGACTTTTTCAATATTAGTACGATGAGTTATTTGATAGTTTTTCAAAAAATTGAAATCAATCACCTATTTGACTTGAGATGTGTGGTCAGTGGCGGACCCACTAAGGGTCCCAGGGGTCCCGAGACCTCGTGCACCTCGGGAAAAAACCCTATATATATTATATATATATTATTTAAAATTAATTATTCAATGTATATATAAACACAAAACAACTTTGAAACAATAAGAATGGTGTAGTGGAATGGGAACACGTCCAGAAGCAAAGTATCCATGCTACTCGAGGTATCATGTTTGAACCCTGTTGGAGTATTTTTTTTTTTTGGCGTTTCTTTCTGTCTTTAAGGGAAGGCACGGCCCAACTTAAGCCCAAAATAAAAGACCCAACCGGCCAACCCGGCAGGCAGCCCCTTTTCTTTTCACGCAAAGGCCCAGCCCGCGGCAGCCCCCTTTTCCTTTCACGCAACCCCCAAGTCCCAACCGTGATTCTGCGAAGCGGCCAAACTGCTGAAGCCCCCTGCGGCCCTGCCCCTGTTTTCCTTCCACGACGAGTGATGACTGACTGAGTGACCAGCGACGACAAGCAGGAAGCGGCCAGCCGCCAGTGGGACAAGCGGGACAAGCGGGCCAAGGCGCCAAGCCAAAGAGCCACCAAGGTACTTTCTCTTCTTTTCTTCATTAATGGCGTTTCTCAAGCTTTTTGGTGGATTTTCTTTATGCTCAAAAATTAGGGTTGTTGAGGGTAAATCCCGTAGATCCGAAAGCCCAACACGAACTTTGGATATATCAGGAATGGTACAGAATCAAAGTGTATAAAAATATAAGATATGAACTCACTAATACTCGAAAGCTCACTTGTATTAACTAACCAGTCTGATTACGAGGAATTTCCCGATCGGTAGGTCGGAGACAATGCTTTAATACAAGAAATAAGAGCAATGATGCTATTCTAGAGCCTGAGTATTGAAATGCTGACCCTTACAATGATTTTAAACCTTCTATTTATACTAATGGAGAGCATGGGCTGCCCTATGCTGATTGGCTGTTGCTCCACCGACTTGATCACCCATGTTCCCACTTGCTGATGTCATAATCTGGCATTAATTGCACCTAGCCACTTGCCGGTTATCCGTTGCTCGAACGGGATGTTGGATTATGCTGAAGACGCTGTCAAATTGGGCCAAGTATGATATATAGTCCGATCTCCGTTCGGGATATCTTCTTACTGGGCCAATCCTTATCTGGGTCGTATCTCGTTCGGCATGGATTCTTCACTGGATCTACTTATCATAGAGCGATGGGCCCGTTGCTTGGGCCGGTATTTTGGGCCTTCTTGATCCGGGTATTGGGCCTCTGGATCAATATCCCAACACAAGTCCCCCACTTCCGATGTCTCGAACAACAGTGAGTGCATTAGGAAGTATGAATACCAATGTTGCAATTCGCCGAATGGCGATCGGGGTACAGAAGTAATCAGTTCCCCATGCTGTGATTTGACGGCTGCCGTTTCATTTCCCCATATTCATCATGGTAACCGTCGTTTAGTCTTTTCATTGGACACGTGTTTAGCTTAAAAGCTCCTAATGACGTGTTGCTCCCTGATTGGTTCTTGATACGGCGGTTTCAAGGCTATAAATTAGCCCTTAACCTTTCAAATCCGGGTTTCGATTCTGTAATCTCCCTCGCATCGTTGCTTCCTCTGAAATTTCTCCCAGCTTTCGTCGCTCAGGTACCTTTCCTCCCTCTATCCTTTATCTTCATTTCTGGCTCGATCGAGATGAGTTCTCAACAGCATTCTCCTGATTCGGAGATGGCCTCCCATGGAGATGACCGTGACGCTGCTATTGTGGATGTCATCATAGTCCCATTTGCCGGTGGTTCTACTGAAACGGCAACAAATATCAGGGCTGAGGCGGAGGACCTTCCTAGCACTTCATCTTCCTCTGGTGGAAGCTCTGATGGCACAAAATCCGAGGATGAAATGGATTTAATGGCGGCTGGACGGCCAAAAGATGTTCCCCGTTATTCCCTCGACCTAGGTTTAATTAGGGCAAGACGGCAGAAATTGACTGCCAATAATAGGGCCGAAATTCCGGCCCTAATCCCAGACCCAGTGGACTTTCGATTGCAAGTTGGGCTTCATCCCCTGCGTCACGCCCCTGGGATGACCGTGGTCCATTTCGATTCAGTGAGGGCTGGGCTTAGATTTCCGTTACACCCCTTTTTTATTTCATTTTTTAATTTTTATGAAATTGTACCTGCCCAAGTCATGCCGAACTCCTATCGGTCAATGGCAGGCTTTATCTGTCGTTGTAAAGATGTCGGTGCTTCGCCGACCTTAGATTTATTTCATCAATTTTTCAAAGTAGCCCCCTAACAAACTCATGGATACCTAGCCGCTAGTTCCCGAACGGGCCACATGTTATTCAAAGGCAATCCAACTTCAATCAAGGGATGGAAAGATAGGTTTTTCTTCGTGTCTATCCCGGACGGGTTGATCCCTCATAAATGGAACGCCTTTCCCCGCAAGACTCCCGACCCAGTTCTCACCGAGGAAATCTATAAGGATGTACTCGCTGTGGAGAAGGACAAGTGTTGTGATATCATGACCTACCTGACTCCCGATCGGCTAGTTAAAGCCAGGATAGGTACTGCTCGTTCTCTTGGGTTTACTTGTTTTGAGAATCAAGTGCCATAGTCCGGGCGGTCCTTCCCGTGCGAGAAACGTTCCCTTCTTGTTATTTGTTTCTCACATGCTAAAGGCCGCTCGGTACTAACATTTCCCTTTGTCATTTTTCAGCTCCCAATCCAGACGCTACTATGGATGACAGCCGTGTGCTCCTTGCTGGCGGGATCGGGAAAAGGAAGAAGAAAATGAAGAGGAATCCAAAAGTTGATTCACCCACCACTGCTGCTCCACAACCCGAACCTGCACCGACCGTTCAGCAACCGGAGCCCATTCAGCAATTCTCCGGTCAGGATCATTATGATGCCAAGATGATCGATGACCGCTTTGGTTCAGATCAGTTGCATCAATTTTCCCAACACTTTGATTCCATTCAGGGGGAAACCTCGAACGTAGGCGGGACCCATACCGACCATATCACTGGTCAGGTCGAGCGGATCTCTTTATCGGATCCTGTTCATGAGGTGCTAGAGAGAGCTGGTTCTACCGCGAGTCAGATCTGGTCAACATCTTCCTGGTTCAACAATTTCTCCCTTCCCCAGTTACCGGTCGAGCAATCGGAAGAATGCCTGGGCTTGATCGCTCTGAAGGTAGATTATCTTTTGCACTTTGTTTTTATTTTATTCTCTGTAATCAGTACTAACTTTCGAACGGTGCTTTGTAGATGGGTTTGTACACTTTGCAAATGCGGGAAGCCCGTCTGGCCAAGGAACGGGAACTAATCGTTGCCCAATCCTCTGCTGAGCAAACCGCTGCTGCTGCCATCACCTCCCTGGAAGCCGAACGGAAGGCTTTTGCGGAGGAAAAACAAAGGCTGGATACTGAGCTTGGTACCCTTCGGGTCCAACTTGTTGCTTCCCAAGAGGAGGTCATCGCTGCCGAGGCCGCACAAATCAAGTTTGAGGAGATGCCTTCCAGCATCCCGGGCGGCCTATATGAGGTGAATGTGGATCTATCCGCTGTCCGGGAAGCTTTCAAATCCTCCGATGAATTCTCCATCATCAAGGATGATCATGCCAGGACGCAAATCCCATTCGCCTTTGGAGCGTACCTGAAGGGGTTTCCTAGAGGTGCTGGTCGGCTCTCGGTAGGGGTGGCTCTTTTGGATAAGGATCCTGAGAGCAAGAAATGGAATGACTCCATTGTTGCAGATCTCTATGCCAAGATCGGCCAGGTCCTGCTACGTCCTTTTGTAGACCAACTTCAAAATAATCTTGGGAGGCCGGTTCAGGCTTCTGATCTTCCCCAGGATGACATCATACAAACTCAATTTAAAAAATTCCAGCGAGATCTGCAACGGAAAGCTGATCGGGCTGCTGGGAGAGAGCCTGAACCCCCATCTGATGATGATGAAGATGAGGACGAAGGTGGAGAGGAGATGGCCCCTGGCCAATAATCTAAATGTTTAATTTTCTATTAATCGTTGTAATTCTCTTTCCTTTCAAGTAGCTTGTATTATCCGGCCAGTAGAGCCGATGAATACAAACCTTTTGTTTTGCACAAAACATCTTATACTGTCTTTTTTGGGTTTTTTGAATGAATGCTCACCATTCAGATCAATTCTTAGAACGTTGGTAGCCGTTCGGGCTTCAGATCAATTCTTAGGACTTAGCACATTCTGGCTTCAGATAATTTTTAGAACGTTGGTAGCCGTTCGGGCTTCAGATCAATTCTTAGAACGTTGGTAGCCGTTCGGGCTTCAGAACAATTCTTTAGGACTTAGCAGTTTTTTCTAGCTTCAGATCTCTGATAATCTACCCGCACTGGGCTTCCTTCATGTGTTGGTACCCGTTCGGGCTTCAGATCAATCTTTAGGACTTAGCAGTTTTTTCTAGCTTCAGATCTCTGATAATCTACCCGCATTGGGCTTCCTTCATGTGTTGGTAGCCGTTCGGGCTTCAGATCTAAGTAGATTTTAGCCATTCCCCCGTGATCTTTACCAATCCTCTGTAAGCCCGTTCGGGGTATGTGCCCAAAGATGAACCATAAATGCCCCTGATTAAACGTAACCACTTAATGCCACGTGTTGCTCATGGATTAGGGTTTTGTGCGGCACTTTCCCTATTTATAGAGATGTGCTTTCCCCTAATTTCTCCTGCTGTTTCCTCATTTTTCCTTCTAAGTTCAGAATTCTCTTGCGTATTTTCAAGCTTTCTCTCTCTAGAATTCCCAGAATTTCTCCAGTGTTTTTATGTACTACCCTTCTAGCTCAGAATCTGAAGAGATCCCGTTGATTCGCATAAGTAAAACATCTGCTGGTAACAAGGCCGAAGGCTCTTCTTCCCAAACACCTAAACCCGGCAACCCTCAGACAGGAAAACACACCGAACAGCCACAAGATGATGGATGCTTATCAGGTGATGATGTCCAGGTCTATAACAAGGGAATGCCCGAACGGCCACCCCGCATTCCCCTACACTTTACTCGTATCCGCAAACAAAAACAACGCCTCCCAAAAGATATCGAACGACAACTTAGCCAGCTATTGCCCCCACCAAGGGAATACTATGCTGGATTTATTCGACACCCGATGAGGCA